TCACTTATGGTAGTGATAAATTCAGTTCATTGCCTCTCTTTTTTGGATAATTAATTAATTAATTAATTATTTTGCTCTGTTTCATTCTCATTCTTTTAATGGTTAGCTTTTAGTCTTCTGCATCTCCGTTTCATTGAGATGAAGCCTGAACTTTAGCAGTTCCATAGGTGAGGAAAGTTCTGGAAAACTTAGACCAGATTTGTGCCAATACTGAATATTTCTCTTTTTTTAAAAATAGATAGTAAGTAGGAAGTAAATTATACTTCCTTTGAGCCTAGGAAAAAATCTTAGTGCTTGGGTTAATTGCATTTTCTTTCTGTACACATGGAAAGTAAATAGTGGTCTAAAAAGTGAATACTGTTGTGCAGATTGAATCTATTACTAAAGTGCTAGTGCTACTACAGCTGTAGGAGGTGGCATGAAAGTTGCATTTTGGTTGTTTCCTGAAGTCCTACATCTTGTTTGGAAGGGAAAATGAATTATTTATCACTTTTTTTTGGTCTGTAGTTAATTTTTATTGCTGGTCTTTAAACAATTTGTATTTTGTTTTTTCTAGGTGGAATTTTATTATTTGATGAATTGAGTTGAATTTAATTTTGCATGGTAAATGGCAACTGTTTTTCATTTGTACAACATCTAGCACTGTAGTGTCCACTGTTATTGTTCTTGGGGGCCATGACACAAGTAACTAATAATTACTCTGCATAACAGCCGTTACATTTTCAAAACACTTCGCAGACTACTTCATCGCAGTGGCTTTTCTCTATCTCTTTTTGTGGATATGGAAGTAATGGCACAAATCTTATGTTGTCTGATGCAAACCTAGAGCCAAAACATGCATATCTTGGATCCTATGTTTGGAAAGAAGATTACTTACATGGCTGAGATACCAGTGTGAGACAAGGGATGCACTTGACAGTAGATCAAGTCTTGCAGAAAAACAAGGGGATACAGAAGCAAATCTGTGTAAATGTACACAGTATCTAGTGAGTAGGTCTAATTAATGACAAATTATACACGGAAATTTACTTTTAGCAATATTTCATGGACAAACTTACGAAGCATTCTCTTGAATGTAAAGTGTGGGCTGCTTTCCTCTAGAACTGAGGCTTGTCTGGTTTTCTCTTGTGTTTGAGGTGCAGTTCCACTTTGCAAAGATTGTGTAGGAGGAGAGGAAGGGAGAATGGTTGTATTTGTTATTTTAAGGGCTGTTGACGTTCAGGTTTCCTCAATCAGCGAATACAGAGTTATTTCTTCTGGCTGTCAGTGGTTTGAGCTTGCCCTTTGGTTTGGAGGGGACTTGCTACAGATTCTTCCATTTTTATGCATCAGCCATCACTGGCAATGAAAGTAAACCTACCAACCTCTTAAATATTTGTCAACAACTACATGCAGGTATCAGCAGTAGAATATTTACTTGGTGTCATTCAGTTACTTCAAACAATTTGGAATAAAAGTTTGTGTGAAATTTAGCATTTTCTGCCATATTTGACTAAGTGCTGCACACAAGTTCTCTCTGCAACAAAATATAGTAAAGATGTGCTGTTTGTCTACCCTGGCCATGTAACAGATTTCTCAGCTTCTGCATACCCCCAGAGGAAGGTTTCTGTTGGATAGCATACTAACAGTTGGAACTGTGTCTGAGTAGCTCAGGCGAAGGTAGAACTTTGTGGGATATTACTTGGTCTTGTCCTTTCCCCGACTGCCACGCAGATGTTCCTTATGGTGATCCTTTAGAGTCGAGCATCTGGGGGTGCCTGTTTGGCACCCATGGTGCAATTTCTAGCTCTTTACGAACTGAGGTTCATCTATTTCCTTTGGGCAGAAGGAGCTCTGGGTGTCTCTTAGTCTGCCTCGTAAAGGTTATAGGAGTAGCAGAGCTAAGAGGGTGGGACACACATCAAGAGTTCTGGCTCTTTTGCAGGACATTGGGGAGCCATCTGTATGATAAAAGCATAAAAATAATCTATACTGATAAGAGCATTACAATGGACAGTAATCTAAAAGTACAGTTCTATTTTGGAAAGTGGTAATCTAAAAATGTGAGTTTTGAATCCAGCAGATCTATTCCTATGAGTATTAAAAAATTACTTGCTAAATTTAGTGACAAAAAGTGATCTTTTAAAATATCAGTGAATAATCTCATTTTTTCCTACTGTATCTTCTATGAAACAGTTCATTAAGTTTCCATTGTTTATACCCATTTGAAATTGTGTCACTTAGAAATTTTTAAGAGAGTTATATGAATAATTATTTCCCTGGGCATGTCTTCCTCTTGATATTGATCCATTTAGAATAAACAAATCCTTTCCTCTGAGGAAATCAAATAGAAAATACTGTTAATGTTGAAATAAAAATAAATGAATTTTTTTTTTAGCTTTTTCTGAACTTTTAGAATCTTATTGGCAATGAAGTCAGGTGAAATATTATGACTAATTTGAATATTAAATGCATCCTTTCAACGCAACCAAATTAAGTATTTGTTTTCTGTAAATAAGCGAGTTCTTTTTGTACAAAAAAACCCCTAATTCTCTCTACCTCTGGTCAGAATTTGGTAGAATCACTTTCTCCCAAATGATGCAGTTCTATCACATTTTAAATGTTTTAACAAAAATTTCTTTTTGTGAATTTCACAACGGAAATTAGGATAAGACTACTCTGAAAGCAAAGTAGTTTGCCTTAAACTTTTTCAATCTAAGTTCAAATATTTTATTTTGTATTTCCATTTTTCATATCCAGTTTCTTAAACTCCCCTTCTGTGATCCCCCCCCCAAGTATTTGTAATCCTTGACCTTTTTTTTTTTCTTTTTCTTTTAACATTAAGAATTAACCAAATTCCAAACTTTTAAGTCCTTTCTGAATCATTACTATTTTTATCTTTGGTAGGACTTTCACTCACAAAGAGCATTTTTTTTTTTTTAAAATCCCAGTGATGAGTTTTAATTTTAAAAACAAATTTTGCACCGCTATTTTTGAGCAAAAAGTAAAAAAAACAAAGAAGAATGTTGGGATGGAAAAATTTCCTGCCCTTGCCTGAGACTTGTAAGCACTACATGAATGAAAAGCTTGGCTTTGAGACTGAAGTGAAAAACAGGCCATTACTGGAGACCTTTCAAAATGTAAAACATTGTTGTTTTGCAGTTAATTTTGCAAAGAGGAAGGGGAGAAATAAGCAATAGTCCTGAGGAAAAAGACTAGAAGGCTGTGTTGTAATGTCAGAATGTGGATATTTAGAACGTGGAGTTTGTATGTGCTTGTCACTCAGGGACTTGCATATCCAGTTCTAAAATATGGTTATGTTATAGTTTTCTGTGTTTTCCTCTTTGCTTTTCCTCTCCATACTGACTGTTCGGAAGTATCTGCTTTCCCTCCCCTGGAAATGAAGGCCTTATGCCTTCTCTGTCTTATTCTCTGAATTGGCATCAAGGCTTTGCTCCATTGTTTACAAAACAAAGCCAGGTATGGAATGAATGGGAAATGGAAATTTACTTTGTGAAGGAATTTTTTCATCATTCACCTGAAAAGTTTGGCATAGATAATCATGAAAAGAATAGATCACTTGATCTTTTCTAGGTCTCTGCAAATATCTCTGATTTAAAGGAAGGCTGCTTTTTTTCTCTTTTTGTTCTTCCTTTTTACTCCCCTCCTCCTGATTGTGTTAGATCATGTCCAAAGACTTAGTAGAAATTGACAGTGTGCTCCCAGGTAACAAATTACATCTGTCTCTGAAAATGAGTCAATGTAATCGTGACAAATTCATGAAGTAAAGGGGAAATACATTGCTGCAGTCCTGGGGAACATGACTCAATATGCTTTATGTAATTATTTAATAAAACATCTCTTCTAGTGCATTGAACCAGCCTAAGATACTGAAGCGGTTGTATTTATACAGGAATAAACAAACTTCCAGTAAAAGCTGGTGACCAGAAGTATGCAATTATGCATTTCCAGAAATAGTCATTAAACCAGTCTACTTAAATTTTAATCAGACTTCTATGTATGAAACAGTCTTGATAAGAGGGAGTAGAAAAAAAAAAAGTAAGTATTTTTATGAAAGGCTATTCAGATCTTCTTGTGCCCCAAATAGGTTTGAATTTTTTTATTTAACTTCTTGTGTGTGGAATTGCAAATCTGTCTAAAAGTTAACAATACAAAATCCTGCATGCTGGCTTAATTCCGTTTTATGGGAGCCGTATTAGTATCAGCACAGAAATACTACATTGGTAATAAAGCTGTCATAAAAAGCATATGATGTGGGGATTAGACAGTGAGATATTGAAATAGTTAGGCTTTGTGTAGCCTATGTGAGAAATGTCTGCGGACTGATGATCAGTGTGTGAATTCTTATATGAAAGTAAAGTAATAGGAAATGCACTGTTTACACTGAAAAATTACAAATCACCAGGTACTTCCAGTATTTTTTGGCCTTCCTCATTTATCTTCCTGGTATGTCTGAGCTAAATACTGCAAACTGAGTTATATCTGAGGCATGAGAGGACATGTGGTGCCCAGGATCATGAGGAAGTCAGGAAGAGCCATAAGAGTTTCATGACTCCAGATGCTGGAGTGAATTCAATAGGTGTCTGGTTATGTTCCTCTCAACATTAGATTTGTATAGTTTAATGGTCAGTGACTTCTACATTTATTTTCAGTCAGCCCACAGTAACATCAGAATGCTCAGGGATGGTCTGCTTGCACAACTGGACGTGCAATAAATAGCCTGTCATTTGAAGTCTTTACAAACGTATTTGTAGACCTTTTCAAATAATCTGAAAGGGGAGTTCAGAGAGCAACCCACAAGATGTTAGTGGATGAAGACAAGAGTGCATATATCCATCCCTGAAAAGGGTCCCTAACCTTTTCATGTTTCACAATCTCTCTTTTCAGGTGTTATCTGATAACCATCTATTTGTTATGGATCATGTGTCTTTGGAAAAACAGATATGAACATTGTTGCTTTAATATTAAATTCTAATGGTCACTGTGCTTTATCCTTCTAGGGCATCAGTAGCCTCTTCAGTTCACTTAAAGTGGTCAGGCTACTTCGGCTGGGTCGCGTTGCTCGGAAGTTGGACCACTACATTGAATATGGAGCAGCAGTCTTGGTTCTGCTGGTGTGTGTGTTTGGTCTTGCAGCACACTGGTTGGCCTGCATTTGGTACAGCATAGGAGACTATGAAGTTATCGATGAGGATACAAACACGATCCGAACTGAGAGCTGGCTCTATCAGCTGGGGATGTCAATAGGAGCACCTTACCGCTTTAACACATCAGGCTTTGGAAAATGGGAAGGTGGACCAAGCAAAGATTCAGTCTACATCTCCTCATTGTATTTTACGATGACCAGCCTCACCAGTGTTGGATTTGGGAACATCGCTCCGACTACAGATGGGGAGAAGATCTTTGCTGTTGCTATGATGATGATTGGCTGTAAGTATTGGAGACTCTGTCTCGCATACACAATGCCAAATAGCATTGAACTAGGGCTATTTTATAAGAATTCTGTCTGATCTCTTGAGAACCTGAAGGTATTTAGCAAATGTATCAGAGAGAGATGTGGGGATGGGAAAAGAAGTTTCCTGGCTACAGCTTTTGTACCTCACTCAGAAAAATTAATGTTTGTCCCTGGCCAAGTAACATGTTTGTTATGAGCCGAGCTACTCACTTATAACACAGTCGGTGGCTACATGTTCCTGTTAAGGTCCTCATTTTGCAGATGTTGGATCACATAGATTTGCACACGGGATGGATAGGAGCTGTGGATGTCCAAAGCATCAGAAAGAAGCAATTTCAAATCAGTTCTGCTAGTGTGTTACTGCCCACTAATAAAAGGAAAGGGTATATGATTTCTCATTTATACTTTCCCATTAACACTGCATTTATTTTCGTGCCTATCTAGTGATGCATTCTCACAAGTTACAACTAACTTTCAGTAGCACAAGGAATGCCATTTCCTTCCCATGAAGGATGCAGAGAGAGACTAATTGTTTGACTATCTAAAACTCTCATTGAAGATAGGTGGGATTTCCTGAGTCCAACCTCAAACATCACTCTGTTAACTTCTTCCCTGCTAGAGGATAAGTCTTTTAAGAACAGTGTGAATTTATCTTGGTTTTGAAGTGGCTAGGTATAGTCTGGGCAAAAATACATACCTGTATATTTAAATAGTCCAGTGAAATAGGTAAAGTCATTTTACAACCTTTTCTGTATGAAATGGAAACAACACTGTCACTTTTTATTTGAGGATGTTACTGGTTTTGCTTAGTTTAGTAAGACAGTATGTTAATAAGATTGGTTTTGCGATTCCAAGACTGCTGTCATCAAAAAAAAAAAAAAAAAAAAAAGAGTATTTGGGGACAAATGTATAACAGCCAGCACACTAATATTTCAAAGTGATTCCAGCAAAATTTTACTTTAAATAGGCTGGAAATTTTTAATAGGAGGATAATTTTTTTTTTCCCCTTGGGCCAATTAACCTCCTGTGAATAAATAGTAAAACTTCCATTAGTCTGATGGGGACAGATTTAGATGAGCGGAAAGAAAATGGTAACATTTCCTTCTCTTTGTGTGTTTTATCCTCTGCTCTTTTTGAGTAGCAATAAGTGCTGTGTCAAAAAACTAGCAGCTTGTTAAACAATACTGTGGCCAGGTAAGCTTACAGTCACAATTTTATTAGCAAGATCACCTTTGAAATTTTGATCTTCTCTTTATTCATAAAAGAAACTGAATTTTCTTGAAATGGAGACAGTGGTCAACATGTGTGAAAATGTCTGTGACCCCCACCTTTGGTGCGTGGGCTGGAAGTGCGGCTGCCCTGCAGCAAGCAAGGGTGCGGGTACCAGTAGCCCTGAGGACACAGCGAGCGCTTCGAGCGCTTGCCTCCCACTGGTGCCTAACCGAGAAACCGCAACAGTGCCGGGCTTGCTCCTTCTGGCATCCAGTTTAGAGTCATCGCCCTGCCTTTGCACCCTCCCTCTGATTCTTGGTGTCAAGGATCTTGACTTTCGTTTGCTCCATGAACTCTGGCACCGTGCTTTGGTAGGGGCACTCCGGAACTGTGTCCCTGGAGCGTGGATGTTGGCCTCGAGGCGGGGGAAAGGAAGAAGTGTGAACTCTTCCTACTCAGTGAACTCAAGAATGAATTAATTATATATACACATACATACATAGCATATGTGTATACATACACAGAGAAAGAGTGCATATGTATTATGCTTAAAGGAGGAAAAAGAGAGCATATAGTTTTTTTCTCCATGTTTGATGTTCTAGAATTATTTTTAATAGAATGTGTTTTAATATTTGTGTTGCGTTAACTCTTTGTAGACCCGTTGACCACTAACAATAGTACTTTGCTATAATGTCAAATACCTGTTTAAAAAAGTAGGTAAGACCACTTCCGTTTTTCTTTTTTATTCAGTCTTTCATTATGGTAAGTAATAAATCCAGGTAACTTTTAATTAAAAATGTAGAGATATGTTAGAAGCTATCCTGGACCGGTGGGAATTTTGGCTGAGTTGAGTGCAAATGTTGGCCTAGTAAAAAGTTTAAGGTGTGTGAGCTTGTAGAAGGAAGGGTGGGTATGTCATGTTAGCAGTGCGTAGACACTGGGAAGGGATGAGTGAGGTGAATAAAACTGCATGTGGGTATTGAGCTTGTGGGGCTGGCTGGGTTGGTTGGTTTTGCACTTGGGGCAAAGTGTAAGAAAGCATGGCTTGGTCTCAGCAGCCCTGGTCTCTGCTTCGCGGCCACCTTCTGCAGGGAGGTGTTCTTTTGCCCTCAAATGCAATGATTGCACGTGCTGTGCTACTGACCTTGTTGTGGCTGCGGTTTTCAGGGCGAAAGTGTTTTACTGGTGGTTATTTTGAAATGGGTAGGTGCAACCCCTAATTAGATTTGTGAGGGACTGCAGTGTACTCATCTTATAGCCCTGGGGACATACGGTCCATTGATCAGCTCCACCGAAGGGGGACGTGGGTAGGTGAAAAATGCCCTTGGTTCTTGTCTTCAAATAGTAGTGCACATCTGTTTGGGAAGAACAAATTATTTTAAAATATGGATGAAGTATCCAGTGGCTGCTCTTAAGGTTTTCTGTTCTGTGGAGGCTTGATGCTTCTGGTAAGATATGCAATTCATATTGCTATGTAGCTGTTTTTCCTGAACATATGGTAAATTATAGTTTTGTAAAGCAAACTGTCTCACATCTCTCAGTGGACTGACCTGCATGGTTTTGCCTCACTTTATTCATTGAGGGTATGTGTATATATAGAGAGAGAAGTATGAGTGTTACTACTGGAAGTAAAAGCAATTAACTCCTCAGCTCCATTTTAAGTGAATCAAAACATATTTGCTTATCCCTTTTCACAGATGGCCACTAAATTGCTAATTAATAGGGAATATATCTACAGACAGATCTTTCAGAGAGGCTGATGTTACATAAAACTAGGTTTAAAACCACTATCTGGGTCTGTGGAAAGACATATATTTTTCCATTTTTAATACTTGGGGGGAGGGGGGGGAGCTATTTCAGGTTTTAGTTTCTTCCCTGTGGAGACATATGCCTCGAAATAACAGTTCTCATGTATTTTGTTCAGTGAAGCTGTCAGGTTGGGTTGCATATTGTTTATTTTTCCTAAGCAATAGCAGAAACCTAAGGACTTTCATTTGCAGTTTTCGTATCAGGGCACTGTGTCAGCAATCCCCTTGCTGTGCAGGTGGAGTAGGGATGAACAGTTCTAAAAATGATTTGCATTTTCCACTTTTAACATACTGTAATACTGATGGATGCTTGCCTATCTGGATTTTGAGCAACTGAGCAAAATCTGTCATTTTGGGAGCCTTTTTGTTAGTGTTCTCAGTTGCACTGAAAGATCCCAAGCTTTTGGTGCCTGTTTGTGCTAAATTCTCCTTGTTAGGTAGGAACTTCCTGGAACTACACAGCTTGACTCATCCCAAGTATGAAGTTCACTGAGGAAAAGGCACATGTTTGAATGCTAAACTAAATCATAAATTCCCCTGCGAACACTATAATTAGACCAGATAGCAAGAGGGATTATGGAAAAAGAACAAAAGTAGGAGTTAAAAGGTCAGACTCGAGGACACACATGCTCGTATACTGTGATAAATTTTCAGCCACTGAGTTCATTAATCAAGACAGACCAGAGACCAAACCCACTCATCTTCTTTGGTCATGTGCAACACAAGCATCATGCAGTCCTGCAGCACTTCAGCTGTTGTCTCTGATTAAGGTAGACACAAATCTCAGGAGCGTGGAGTAGCTGTCTCAGCTTTATTCAGCTTTGTGAATAGCTTCTTTGTCATTAGACATAAAAACAGGAATGAGGATAACATAAAATAAATTTGAAAACATAATTAGGTAGTTTTATTTACAGCACTCTTGCTGAAAGGAACAGAAATCTGCCCTAGTAATGTGAACATCCCTCTGAACTATAAGAAAATCTTGGTGGCTGGTATCGTGATGCAAGAGTCCGTGTTGCTCTGTCAGAGCCTCACAGAGGATTAGTGTGCTGTGGTGACCCCCAGCAGGGTAGGAAGTGTTCAGAGGCTCTTGTGAACAAGGATAGCCAGGAACTGCTGAAAACTAGGCTGTTGTTATCAAAATACCTGAACGAGATACAGATGCATCGCAACATCATGTTTGATGACGTTCCTGAGGCATGATTTTCCCCTTATAATGCAATTCATCAGTTGTTAGAGCAAATGGATGTGGCCATGCTTTATGTGTATCTCTGTGCTAGCAAACACGTATGTAATCATAAGAGAGGCATGTGTACTCCTAGTACCCCTTTTAGGGGACGGGGGGCAGGTGCATGTTGAAATTGGTTTTGCTGGAAGTTGGTGGCCTGAAACCGAGGGCCAGCCACATGCCAAGTGCTGGCTAGGTTTGCTAAGGATATCATTCAGGGGCTGAGCACAAAGGCCTGTGAGACTTGAAACCCAAAGCAACTTCTTCTGTATTCATGGTTACTGCAAGTGCCGTGTTTTGATTGGGGGACATGCTGGGAAAGGAAAAAGAAACCTACGGCAAAAGTAGTCTCTTGGATACCTGCTCTTTGTCATTAACTCCGGCAAGATGACGAAAATCTCTTGGATGCCATGGACTTCTTGGTAGCCACTGAGGTTGAGGTTGGCATGCTTTCCGTATGGCTGATAGTTTTGCATTGCTTTTCATTCTCATCTGTCTTAGCCACCAGCAACACTACTCAAGCTAGTAATTCCTAATTTAGATGCCTTGATTTTTTTTCTTTTTAATTTCTTTTTAATAAGTAAGGACAGTCTTTGCAGATCTATTCCCTCATCGCTCTCTGCTGTGCTTTATTACTTCTTGTTTGATGCTACTCATATTTGAAGAGCTGGTGTGTTATTGCTAAAATTGTTAAGCAACTGTTGGGATTTCGGAATGTATTTTGCTT